TATCCATAAAATTGTCTTATTTATCTATAACCTGTGCTTCTTATATGCCTTTGAAAGATTAATATAATTATACTTACACCAAATTGTGATAACGGTCCTTCAAATAAAGAGATTTGAGCAACACGACATCTATCTCTATTAGCTAAAACAGCAGGAGTACAATATCCACCTCTCATTCCAGCCCCTTCTGCTAATATCTGTTCTAATTCAGGAGTTGCTCCCCCTGTTATTAATGTTCTTATAAGGGTTAGAGCATTATCGTTGAAATAACTCTGAAAAGAAATATCAATCAAATGTTATTTTCAGTATACTAAAAAAGATGCTGTTTTGAAAAATTCAGACTCAATGAATGAAATCTGTTACAGATTAGTGAACCAGTTGACATAAATATTGTTATTTTTAAATGCATCCATTGAAGATAATTTTGGAATTGGTATCAATTTGCTGAACATATGAATTAAGGACTGGAAGGTTCAATGGTTTCATACACCATGGGTTGCCTGTACATGGATATTTTCATGTCAAATTTGATCTGAAATATATTATAAGCTATTTAAGAAAATAAAATATGAGTTATATATTTGAAACTTACAGTACTCATTAAAGAATCTAACACGCTAACAGCGAATGCTGTACCACAAGCAAATGGTTGAGTCATATAGAGTTCTGTATCAGGATCATCATCATCATCTTGATCTAAAAACTGTACATTAGAATCATTGGCTGAAAGTAAAAATCAATACAGAAATAATCTAAGAATGGCAATTTGAAGATATTTTATCTCTGTAGCATTTATCTTATTTATTTAGCTTAAATAGATAAATAGACATTGTTAATGGTGATAGATCAAAATTATCAATGAATTGTAGGCTACCATGCTGGATAGTCATTTGATGTTCCTTAATTTTCTTTTTTAACTCCTCCACCCATACATACTTCCTATCAATAGGAAACTATACATGTATGATTGGAAGATTTTATTTAACTTTTGTTGCCTGTCAAATTATAATTAATTATATTAATTGATTGACTCACCAAGTTCTGTAATAAGAGGTACATTAGAACCACATATTGAGCCTCGTCTTGAAGAACTAGCTGGACTACCTAGTGGTGAAAACCCTGCCGGTAAAAATGCTGAAAAAAATAAATATGTTGAGATAGATAGAGCTTTTCAAAACAAACATTCTGCTATCATCTTCAGAATACAGAATTTAACTTCCACATTCAATTCAACTACCTTTTTACTGTCTGTACCTCACAGATTCCTAGAACACCTTGTTGACAAATGACAAACACACTTCTAATTCAATAAAGTGCCTGTGAGTCCACCTCGTGTTATGACCTGCCACAATAAAACATAGTTATCTTATACCTGCATTAGTTGGTGCTGAAGCCTGTATTAAACCAATAGAGTCATCAAAATTCATCGCTTTTATATTCAATGAACATAAAATAGCTTCTTTATCTACAAGGTTAGGGTCATCCATATTCTTATCTTTAGCTGATACTATTACACACATATCACATAGGTTAACATTGACAGCTCGTAGGTTCGCTCTGTTTAATGGAGAACCCTAGAAAATACAAATAACATGAATTAAAGTGAATAATGAGATTGTAGATGCAAAATGGACAGAGAAAAAACACAAATAAACTCAATATAGGATATCTAAACATATCATTCAACCATTTTGGATCACCAAATGGACAAAACTTGAAAATTCAATCAAAAGCAAATTTCTACTAATTTCAAATATCTTATATATCAACATAACCTGTAGAGTTCTCTCTGTAGGATTACAATTTAAATCTATCACATGTATTAAAATTTACTTACTGGCAATATTGATAATTTAGGAAAATTCTGTAAAGTTTTCCATTCTCGTTTTATATATTCAAGATGGCCGACTATAAATACATGTTTTAATTCATCAAAATGAAAGTTACTAGCTCGTAATGGCATGACAAGATTTCGTAACCCAATTAATGGGGAGCCAGCATCAGCAAATAAACAAACAATAATATGATTGTGGAGACCAGACATAGCTGCCTTGTTACGGTCCTGAAAAATTAAAAAAGGAACCATTTAAGATAGCTTGCCAGGCAAGGTAATATACGCCCACTGGCAGCTTTGATTTTGAACATAAATATTTAGCAGTACAGTAACAATCACCAGTATGAAATATTCAACATTCAGTCATACACTTCTTTTGAACTCTTCAGGGCGATACTGAATAATATTGAGTATGAGTTATTGTCCTTGTTCTTGAAAACGTGTTCAATCTTTAGCTTGTGAAAACTCAAGAAGACTAATATTCAATCTTCAGCGCTGTAATGAATAATAAAACCAAGTTTTGTCAAAATTCGGCAAGAATCTTGCCTTCTAGAATTTTTATGAGCTACAAATTGAACGCGTTTTCAAGATCAAGGGCAATACATCATACTAAATATTTTTTCGATTTTTCTCATTTTCAATTGGCTTTATCCATGGGTGATAACAAACACTCAAGCCAAATTTTGTTAAAATCCGTCAAGAATTGTGCCATCTAAAGTGTTTACAAGCTAAAAATGCGTTTTCAAGAATAAGGGCAATAACTCATACTCAATATTTTTTGATTCTTCTGATTTTCAATAGGGTTCATCCTTTGGTGATTACCAACACTCAAGCCAAATTTCGTTAAAATCCGTCAAGAATTGTCCCTTCTATGGTGTTTACAAGCTAAAATTTGAACGCATTTTCCAGAATATGGGCAATAACTCCTACTAAATATTTTTCAATTTTTCTGTTTCTCAATACGGTTTATCCATGGGTGATAACCAACAAAATCCGTCAAGAATTATGCCTTCTAGAGTGTTTACGAACTAAAAATTGAACGCATTATCAAGAACAAGGGCAATAACTGATACTAAATATTTTTCAATTTTTCTGATTTTCGATAGGGTTTATCCTTGGGTGATTACAAACCAAATTTCGTCAAAATCCACCAAGAATTGTGCCTTCTAGAGTGTTTACAAAATTGAACGTGTTTTCAAGAACAAGGGTAATAACTCATACTTATATTTTTCAATTTTTCTGATTTTCGATAGGGTTTATCCTTGGGTGATAACGAACACTCATACCAAGTTTCATCAAAATCCGTCATGAATTGCACCTTCTAGAGTGTTTACGAGCGTTTCAAGAACAAGGGCAATAACTCATAGTAAATATTTTTCGATTCGTCTGATTTTCAATAGGGTTCATCCTTGGGTGATCACAAACAACCATACCAAGTTTCGTCGAAATAAGTCAAGAATTGTGCCTTGAAGAGTGTTTACGAGCAATTGTGGACGGACAGACGGACCGACGGAAAGAGGTGACGGCAATATACTCCCCCCATTTCATGTGGGCGTATAAAAAGCTTAATTCCACAGAAAATTGAAAAGTGAAAACTGATTGGTGCTAATTTTCTTGTTGAAAGTATTTTGTTTCCTGTTTTCTGTTAGGAGCAGAATTAAACTAATAAAAATGGCTGCTAAAAAAATTGGTAATGCTGAAGTTGAATGATTATAGGTATAAAATTCCAATTACTACCGAACATATAATTCTTCAGCATAAAATATTGAAAGAAAATTTAACAAATCTTGTGAACAAATGTGACAAGATGTTTTGCTGAGCATTCTGTAAACAGCAAAACACAACCCACCATAACTACACTCTCTAGATTTCTATCAGGACACCAATGGAACATTCCAGTAGAATCAAATCGTTTCTGATCTTCTTCTAAATCTTCTGATTGTAATAATGGTGTTGGTGATAATAATGGTAGTTCTGTTTGACTTGCTGTTTGTGGCCTGTAAATTAAAACATTATTGTTCAACACCGTATTAATGAAAAGCTATACTAAAGTAAAGTAAGATATATTTCACTTGTTCAGACACAATAAATATATATAAAATAATGCTTGTTAGGCTATGGAATACTCTCTAATTAAAAATTTCAAACTGATAAATTTCCACAAGTTCAAATTCCAACCCACTATAGATCCTGCTTTACCAATATATTTATATGTTCTATATCAAATCTTTGAATAAATGAATGATCTTTGGAATAATGTATTATGGTGTAATGCAAATTCACAGGCACTGGCACAAAACAAGAACCTTGAATGATTACAAGGAATCTGCAATCAGAAATGTTGTTAGTGAAGTAGAAAAAACTGGAGGGAATCTTGAAAATAAATAAAATATCAGAATGAAAAAGATGCAAACATCTATAGTATTAAAATCAAACCGAACAGCAAACAATCTAGATGTGTATCAATTGGTAAAGAGAAAAAAAAAGATTGCAAAATATAAAATTCTTGGCTTTCAATCATGATTTTTCTACAGGACAAAATTTGTGAAGATAATGAAACCAATAAGTGCTTTAGTTAGCTTTTATTTCAGAAAAGTTTAGGCTTTATCAAATATCAGAGAGATAGCAAAAGGAAAAGAGTGACAAAGATTTGGGGGTTTTTTTTTCAGTTAAAAGGAAGTTTTGAGCAGGATATCAAAGCAGAATGTGCTCTAAGAGAAAGCACAAATTCTTACTCTTCATCAACCATGTCTTCAGTATTTATATTATCTCCCTTGTCAATGTCATGTTGTTCAATAGGACCTGGCCACCGCCTGCAGATTTAAATTAAATTCTTCAATAATTTGCTTCATGTATCATGATTTCAAAGTTATTTTACTTCTTAAAGATTATCCACCCTGAAACCCGTCATCATGCATGATAAGATACTACTGTTTGGGACCCAGCTAAAAAGAGCCATTAATAAAAGTCAATAATATCCATTGTGAAGAAAAAGCCATCACCAATGACCTGTGACCTATCTAAATGACAATACCTGGATAATGATGTCTCTCTCATTTCTAATAAAGGTAGTGATGTAAAGGAATATCTATTGAAAATGGAAATTTGATATAATAAATGAGTGATTTATTATTAACCCACAAGTGTTTGGAAAACAGATTAAGTATATAGCCACAAATCAAAGGCCCCTAAAAACACTAACTGCAAGGATTTATGAAATGTTGATCATATTGTGATGTCAACAATCTACAGAGCTTGTTAAAGGGACTACACATGACTTTGTAAAATTTTTGCATTTTTCAGAATAGAAATCTGAATAAGGAGGTCACGACTGAAGAGAATACTGAACTGAAAGTTACAACAGTCTATATATTTTTATTGAATTGTATCACAACAATGTCAGCTTTCCATTATATCAAGGATAGCTAAATTGAGCTTTACCAGCAAGAGAAACAAAATTCAAAATGTGGACATTAGAATTTATGTGTTCTTTCTGTAGTGCAAATAAATAAATGCAATTTTATTTTGATTCTTTGAAATTCAGCATCCTCTTATTTATAAGAATCTATATAAATAACAGCTGTATACAGTTTAAACAATCTTGATGCTAATTCAAAAGAAATGGAATTTTAAATATGTGGGAAAGTAGTTACTATGTCAGCAATTTCAATTAACTTCTGTCTTCCAAAAACTTTTGTATCTTATCTTTTTATATTTAAAAATACAATCAAAAAAGAAGATATTTCTTATCTGAACTGAGTTTTATGTTATTAGTCTCTAATTTGTGTTTCTTGAAGATCTATTATCATTTTTAACATATATTAACCCAGATGACATCTTACTACCAAAACTCAATTATACTTACTGGATTATAATGACTTTAAGTGCACCAATTTACAAAGTATATTTGGATACCTTTTAGTTGTTGTGGATGTTAAAAAGCCAATGGTGAAAACATTTTGAAAAAAGGATTCTATCCATATTTAAGTTCATGAAATAAAATAAGCCTACTTCTACTGATATTAATGGCAAAAGAAAAACTGATCCTCAGTGGCTGTTGCTGTTTTTTTTAGGTCCAAGCTCTATATTGAGTAAAGCCTACAGATTCTGACACATGAATAATTTAAATAACCTTCTGGTAAGGTTTCTTTAAGTTAAACTGAGTATCAGTATTGTTTATTATCTTCTATAATGGTAGGAGGCAGGAAGGTAGCAGCATGTATTCCATCAGTTATTGTTAGACAAACATAAAGAACAGTAGTAAAATAATAAACATAACATTTTCTATTAGTAAATCTATAGTTTTCCTTCAAACAATAGAACACAATATGTTCAATTTCCGGCAGATGTATTTTTCACATTCCTTAGAAAATGGGCAGTATGAAAATACTACATTTCAAAGTCATCCCTAAGCTTTCAAAGCTAAGCATTAAATGTTCTTTACATCATTATTCTGCACTAACTTTTGAGCTAATGACCAAATTAACTGGCTGCACCGTTTTAAAAAACATGAAATGTGTAGCCTACTTCTGAAGTAGAAAGATAATAAATTTCTACTAGAGTAAATTTCAAAATTGATACTAAAAGTATTAATCTCTTTAACTTCAAAATGGAAGAGTTCCAATAAAACAATCACAATAACAGGAGGTAATATGCTAAATTGTTTTAAGTTTCAATTTGGAAGTGGAACAAAAGAATGAGTTCTTAACTCTTATACAAATAAATAGGTCTATTTATTCTAATAACATGTGAGTTTTATTGGGTAGAATGTCTCGTTTAGCAGGAAACACTCATTTATAAATATTACCTCTGAATGAGTTAATTCTAAGGGTTAAAATGTTTCAAACTAGAGAAATGCCAGATAGAAGATATATAACATTAAATTTTTGAATATTTGAAACAAGGTTGGTCCATGCTATGGGGTATGAAACTTTGTAATATGTTACATTGATAGTCTACGAATTCTATTCTTTTTCCGTCGAACTTTGGAACTTTTCTTTGGAAACATCTTTAATTCAGTATTTTCATCTGCTATGGCATAACAGGAACTAAAATCAATTTTATTAAACAAGACATATAGTTCACACAGGGAGGGTTAAAGCCAATCTGAAGCTAACAAAGCTTGGTGTTTTTACTATGTACTCAATTTTATGGGATAATTTGGCAATTCATTAATACATTAATCTAGTAATCTATAGTCAATCAAAGATATCACTCAGAACTATCCAATATATAAACATTATAGTTTAACGAAGAACAACAGTACGAAGGATACAGTTGTCTAAAATCTTTCTCTATTGGCTGATACACATTTTGAAGAAAGGTTCCTTAGACTTGAAAGTTAAGATTGTTGTCACTTCCAGACTTTCATTAACGGTAATTGTGAAGAGTGGTACGGATAGCTACAATTAGTTCATATCAGCAAGCAAATTATCAGACCATTTCATCCATATAGTTGAAATTTGGATGATAATATCTCCAAAAAAATTTTGATGTCCCAAATGAGCATTAATATCTTTGATCAATTATAATAACTAAGTCACACTCATCAAATATCAACTAAACTAATATAGCATGATATGCTCAGCCACTAAGCAGCACAGTATATTCAAGGTGAAGCCAGCCACCTTTGTAGTTAGGCAAAAAGTTTATTAAATTTTCATATCACACTCTAATCTATTACCAAATCTAACCTAACCAATATCTGTAAAGTTTGTCAGAATGTGAAAGAGCATTTCTTCGAACGCACTGCATTGTTTTGCAAATGACTATTTTTTTTTTTTTTTTTTTTTTTTTTTTTTGTCTACTTCTGGTCACGCTCCCCGGCCAAAACTGCATATGTCCCACATTGTCTGACACTATTATTTCTTATACTTTGCGTGTCGCTACTGTTTAAATGTAAAATGACGCATTTTCTTCCAACCGGAAATGACGTATGACGTTAACCATTCATTACGTATTTCGAATTACTGCTCTAATTCTGCATCTATTTTGACCGTAACTTTTGTTTTGTTCATTACTTTAAACAAAGGACTAAAAGATAGCACTTTATAAAATTTCAGATTTTGACTTTTGTCGCTGACTTTTTTTGTTTTAATTTTAGCGTTTTTTTTCAACTTCTACAATTTTATTTCAATCGGTCTAAAAATTTAATAGTAGATAAGCATTTTGATTCTTGACAAAAATCTAATTTCAAAATTTCGGTTTTGACGTCATTCGCCTCTAAACTTGAAATTTCAACTTCAGGAATTTTGTAGGTATTTGAAAAATTCTTTTTGAAATTAGTTAAAATTGTCCCTATAACAATTTTGGAATGAAAAAATTTGAACCGGAAGTAACGTGTTAGACGCCATCTTGATGTGACCAATTTTTTGTAAAAATAGATATTAAGCTTCAGGGGTAAATTTGATTTGTATGATTTTGGTGTCTAAAGAATCTGCAATCGATTGCTAACAAAACTTAGGAAGCCGATTTTTGAATTTTGGATTTGTATTTTTTTTATTTTTGGTTTTATGTTTTCAGTAATAGTCAAAAATATTAAGGCTCATATCTAGCGATTTTGACCTTTGGTGACCTTGTGACCTGAACAAAAGTTGTTGCCCCTTACGAGATATATCCGTTGATATCCTCACTTTTGTTGTGCATTGGAAAATCACGATTTTTAACTTTGAAGAGCTCTGTCACGTGACCTAATTAACATACGACAAAAATTCTTATATATTCTTTGAGTGCATAAAATCTCCTTTTTGGTGATATATCACACTTGATATTTTGATCAAAATTGCCCGTTTTAAAAATCGAAAATTTTGTACTGACTTCTATAGTAACTGTGCGTAAAATCACAGTGTCTATAATTTACCGACAGTCACCGTTGCCCTAAAAAAAGGTTAACTACGAATATCTCATAATCTAATGATTGTAAAGACTTGAAATTTTGAACATTATTTAACAATGTACACATCATCACAGACAAATTAAAATTTTTGAAGTGGGCGTGGCACATCCGGTGGGCATTTACCTTTACCTGAAATATTTGCAATTTGTCATAACTCGCAAAGTTTGCAATTGTCATCCTAGAAATTTTGCATGAAAGTAGATCACTGCTTAGGACAATTTATGATAAGATTACAGTTGTTTGCATTCTTTACTTTAAAAAAGGGAACAGGTTTAACAATTTTAAACATTTTTATTTTTGAACTTTAACGTAAATGACCTTGACCTTTGCATGGTCAAAGGTCATTGATCTAAGATGACCATTCTTACTTTGATTTTTGATGTGCAACATATACTTCCGGTTTTACAGACGTCCGACAACAGCAATTTTCGAAACTTCAAAGGCTCATATTACTTTTATTTAACCTTTGTTGACCTTTTGACCTGAACAAAGGTTGTTGCCCATTACGAGATATATCCGATAATATTTTCACTTTTGTCGTGCTCCGTTAACTTCCGGTTCTACAGCCAATTGAAAATCACGATTTTTACCTTAAAAAAAAGGTCTATCACGTGACCTAATTTACATAAGCGAAAATTTATCTTTTGTCCTTATTACACAGAATCTATTCTTTCAAATGATATATAACACTTGGTATTTTGATTAAAATTGAATTTGAAAATTTTATTTCTTCTTTATTGACTTCTATAGTAACTTTGCGTAATTTTAACGGTTTCTATAATCCACCGACAGTCACCGTTGCCTTAAAAAAACTTTTAACTACGAATATCTCATGATCTAATGACTGTAAACACTTGAAATTTTGAACATTATTTGACATTGTACACATTATTACAGACAACACAAAATTTTTGAAGTGGGCGTGGTAAATCTGGGTTACTTTTACCTTTACCATAAATAATTCAAATTGATAACTCGAAAAGTTTGTATTTTTCATCATCGAAATTTTACATAAAATTAAAGCACTATTTGGGACAATATCTGATAGAATTACATTTTGTTTAGGCCTTTTACTTTAAAAAAGGGAATAGGATTTACAATTTATAAAATTTTGATATTTTGACCATTTACATGCATAATCTTGGTCTTTAGAAGGTCAAAGGTTATTGATCTACGATATCCATTCATACTTTTATCTTTGATGTCCGACATATATTTTTGCTTTTACAAACGTCCCAAAACAGCAATTTTCAACACTTTTAAGGCTTATATTCTCTTTTATTTGACCTCTGTTGACCTCTTGGCCGAAACACAAATTATTGTACCTTTCCAAAAATATTTTCATTTTTGTTGTGCGAATTGAACTTTTAACTTTACAGCTAATTGAAAATTCGACTTTTTACTACCGAATGTTAACACCTTTTAGTACCGAATGGTATCAAATTCATGCGTCTTTTCACTACCGAACGGTAAACGGTTTAAACGATTTTTTCTACTATTGAACGTTTACATGCATTTCTTTCCGGTAAGAAATCCCGTTGTGACTTTAAAATGCAACGTTTTATCGATGTATCAGGTTGGATGCGCACTGCTTCGGTACCGTTATAACGGTTCTAGTTTTTTTTGTAATGAAAAGTACGTATAACCAAATAGGAAAAACTTACATTGTAGAAGGAGTTGGTTGCGTAACCATTTTTGATTTTATCTTTTCTTTATTACCACCAACTGAAATGAGAAGAGTTTATGAATTTTGAAATCAAACAAATTCTCTACAAATAATAACGCTGAGGCTAATGTAAAATATCTAACTCAAGCTTGATTCGGCTCATATATAACAGATATAATTTATGTGTAGATTTAGTAGAAGTTTCATAATCACTTTCGCTCTGTCGTCAACAAAAATGGGCATCAAAACTGACTGCTAACTGTGTTCCTAAGGATGGACACGGATTCTGACTTAACAGGTTGTCAACCAGATCCAAAGCCAACTTGGAGACCCGATGACAAATTTTTCTTCAGTGTCCTCATATTGACTTCACCATCAAATGATCAGACTCTCTCAAATGCTAGCAGTTGCTGGCAGTCAATAAACATCTAGTTGCTTTCAGATTCTGTCTGTTTTAAGGACATCTTGATAGATACATAATAGTACTGACTGCACTTATTCCATACAGAAATAAAAATGTTGAAAATAATTTAGAAATGTTCCTTACATTTCACAGCCATGACATTTTTTGGATTAACAAAAATAAATGAAAAATTCTAAAGAGACAAATATCAACCCAGTGCCTTATATAAAAAGAAATGTGTTACATAAGAGTAAAAACTTTATCCCCTTTAACTTAAAACTCTGAAAACTATATTTTAGAAACATTCTGATGATATGGAGGATAACATTTGGAACAAATCGTAACCGTCTCAATTATCATCGGAAACTGGTTTAGAGGAAGAATCAACTGTAACCCCATTTTAGTTCAATGTGATCTTTTATTTTCAAAGACTATTTGATTGATTATTATGATAAAAAATATTACAAAATCAATTCAGTTAATATTCAGAACGGAAAGGAATATTATATCATGGAGAATTATTATATTTTGGTCAATTAAAATTAACTGTGAAATTAATATTTTTTCACTGGATGCCAAATTTAGTAGATTGTTCTCAGAAGCATATTTGTAGATTTTCTTTTTCTAATTAAATATTTTTATATAAATTTGTTTATTTCAAGGGAATGTTCATTTGCAAATTATGATTTCAAAGTAGACACCTGCAATTTTGAGTTTGATATTTTCAGTTGCAGAAATGAATATGTAAGGTAAATATCAAATACTCTAGTTGTTAGACATCTGAACTCCCTGTTTATTTCAGGTACAGATATAAATAAAATTATTGTGAAATTCAATGTCATATCCTTTTCTGTATATCAATATTTCCTTAGACTTTTGTGAACATGCATTTGGAAGTTAAAATCCATATAGTATAATCATTTCAGATATTTACATAAAATGTTTGCTGTTAAATTCAATATTCACTGTATATATTGATTTGGTTACTATGGAAACAAAACAAGATTTTATTTGTCTTAAATATTTTAAAAATATGGTTAAAACATGCTTTAGGATAGAAAAATAAAGATGAAAAAGCACATCCATTGCACTATTTGTGATATGAAAAAAATGTTAGTGATAAAAAATGTTGATATTAAAATTACCAATATCATAATCATCATCATCCATAAAGCCTACACTACTTGTTGAATGACTCAATGCTAAACAAAAAAAATAAAATGAGCATTATTTTCTACATGCTGTTTATATCATAATACATAATCAATTTTCTAGCTTGATATTATGGCACTTCATTACCTTGGTGATTAACTAAGAGAGGCAGTGACTGGGTTTGCCATTACATCTTAAATCATAAATAATAAAATGTTGGAGCAATCAGAATATAATTGGAATACCATTAAGCAATTGCAGAAACTGAACTGCTCCAGCTTTGGTTCTTATTTCATTCCCACATGTACACTTTCTTGCAGAATAAATACAATTCAGAGCAGTTATTGATGTTTAACAAAGGAAGAACTTTCATACAATCAAATAAATCAGAGTAATATTAAGGAAAACTTGATAGAAAAAGAATTTGTAAATCTGATAGTAAATTAAATGCAAGACGGAAAGCAAGGTGAAACATGAGTGATATATTGTTTGTCTGGATCTTCAGGTCTATAAAACACACTTTCATTGCTTTCAACACAAACACTCGTATGTGTAAATTGATGTGTTACTGGGGTTTATTTTCGTATCCTTGGGATGTTTATTAAATGCTGAGGTTATTTGTTCATAATTTTGTAGTGCATCTAAAAAGCATTAATAGGTTTTGTATCTATAATAAATTTCAATGGAAAATTTTGAAGAGAACACTAGTTATGTTTATGTAAATAGTGACAATGAAATTTAAGTTATTTTACAGAGTAACTATAATAACAAAAACTTTCAGTATTACAATCTTCTAAAGTTTGACTAATCATTGGATATTATTAAGCTATACAAATGTATTAGGATTAAAATGAAGATTCACACTTCAGTTGTTTCAGTAAATCTCTAAGCAAACATCATTTTTAGATACTGGTATACAAGAGAGATTGATTATAATCAAGTGATGAAATAGTGCAATTCTTAAAGGACATCAACGAACAAGGAGTATTATAAAAGTGAAATGAGTTTTACATTCTACTTAATGATTGTGAAGAAAAAATCGCAGTACTTTATCACATGGTACACTTTACTTACACTTTCTAGCTTTATCTAGTTGTGATACTTGATAGAAAACAAAAATAAAATCAGATTAAACAAGTCTTGAATATATATATATATAAACAGGGTAGTTCCTAAGATTATAATGGTCAATTTTTATCATAAAATAAATAAATTATTCAAATAAAAGTTAATGAAACATTTCAAATCAGAAATGACATCAAAATACAGTCATATCAGTTCTGTTTTCAAATATAAGATAACATCCTATTTCTGCAGAAATAGGTGACCTTTTATTAAAAATAAAAGAGCAGTATAAACCTAGTGATGCTATATGTATTGTGCCATCTAATAGAGTAAATATTTCCTTCAGATAGTACAGATCTATCTAAAGCATAGAATATATTGTACAAATAAACAATTACTAATAAACATTTCATTATCTATTAAATCAAACACAAGTTAAAACACTTCCTGAATGCAAACAAATGAATTTTCAACAATCCATATCAATAAGAGGGGGATAGTAGAATGGTGCTTGCTTATGAGGGCATATATCAAGTTTTACAGAGTAATAAATTAAAGAGGAAGTATCATAGGTTAATTTAAACCTGAGAAATTGAATAATAGATATACAAGTTTATACAAACATATAATTCATACTAAATATTTCATCAAAGCAAAAACACTTTGAGTATTCTGTGAAATTAGTTCTTAAGTTTAGTTTTAAGAATGTACACAACAAACAGCTGTGCTGACATATAAATGAATGTTATGTGACATTGCTTTGAAGCATTCCACTTGAAACTATATTTTGGAACTGACTATTCAATGCAGCAAACTACTAAAGGGTAACTTAAACTCATATCATTATAACATAATAATATTATGTTTATCATTCAATACTGAAGATGATTATGAATATAATGTACAAGCTCAGATTCAAATCACCCACATAATTGCTGTAATTTGAGACACCAAAAAATGCAAAAATACACCATTCATTAAAAAGGTAGATTGAAATGCAGAAAGAAAGGGTGATTTTCACACCATACCTAAAACTGCTGCTGCTCCTTTCTTGAAAAGCGTCACTGATTAAATAACAAAATGGTGGTAATATAAAGAAAATATTCTAGACACACATGCAGGCCTTATTTGATCCTCATGCATTCAACCATTTAGTCATTTGATTGTGGTTGATTGATTATAAACAACTTCATTCATTTGATTTTGAAATAAAATCATACAAATGTAGATCTAATAATGAAGGAAAGTAAATAATAAACCTAGAAACTAAAATACTATAAATGATCACTATGTATGAAATAAGAAGATAAGATTATAACATAAATACTAATAGATTAACCCTAGATTATAACCTTGGTATTGTATCTTTAAAAACAATTTTCTTTCAGTATAAGGTTTAAGTATGTCCAAGAAGATCATGATGGCGTTTTTTTAAAATAATGATATGGAAAATTGTCTGGTGAATATCTCTGGTGAATGAAGTTTAAAATCTTGAAAATATACTTGAAACTATTCAAGTCCTCTAACAATCTAATATTCATTATGCTCTTCAGAAAAATACTATGAAACAATATTACCATGCACTATCGTATTATTTAATTGTGATAACATTAATGTTAAATCAACATTTAAACAACTAGCATGCCACATGTTACAATTTGGTTTCAGAAAGTGCTTTTTACATCAGTCAACTTATCAAACTGATCATATAACTGATGTAAGAAGTTCTGTCTGTTATCTCAAACTGTTAGTATGATATCAAGTTATACTTACATGGCCTACACCGACATTTCTTAATAGCTCTTACATCAGATACACCAGAATGACAGTTTTTACAAAAATAAAATGCTCTGAAATAGAAAGGAAAAGGGGCTGTAGCTCAGTTATTAGAGTGTTGCAGCATCACCATATCATTTTCCATATCATACAAATTATAATCTGACTTAATATATCTTAATACAAGTTTGAGCTTTTGAGCAACCATTTTGAAAACTCTTTGTTTTAAGCTTGTCTTCCTGTATATCCAAGACAATGTCAAATTTGCAATATAATCTAAATGAAAAATTACCTTTTTACTTCTTCTGCAGATTCAGCTATAAAAAATCCTTGAGTAGCATTTTCTATCTTCACTTTTGGTCCAGGATTAATAGCTAGAGTGCTCTCCCTTGTCTCCTCTTGTCGTACTTCTATTGCTAATAATAGTAACTTTAATTTGGAGAAACATAACCTGGAATATAAAAATTCACAGCTCAATAAGATGGCTGAAGATATTTAACAAAAAATTGTTTATAATGAATGGGCAACATTAGACCCTAAAGTCAGTCACAGAATAACAAAAGGGCTGGAGTCAATGTGACTGGTTTACTGGTCAAGATCCCAGGTCTAAGATCATAGCTCTAAAGTGCCGAAATAGATTTACATTTATATTAGTTATTTTTATGATGTTGCATTGTTTATGTATTTCATAGTGAATAAACCTAATTTCAATTTCAATTAAATTTTGCAAAATCGTGAAGACTACCGGTACTTGCACAACGGTTTTGAACTAGTTGAAAAAACCTCAAACACGACTGATGCTTAAAATACAACTGATGATTTCGACTCATTGTCGGTACCTAGACAGCATATAGTCTAGAACTGAAGTCTGTAATTAAAGAGTTGACCTAAGTTAACCATAGAGTTGTTGTCACTTGTGCCACATTTTCTCAATGTAAGTTACTTACTCTGCAGCTTCAGGAAATGTTAAACCATTAAAAGCACTAGAAAGATATTCTGTATACATTTCCATTGCTGTTCCCCTCATATAATCAGCTTGCCATTGATTTAATTCTATATTCTACAAAAACAATATGTCATATTTAAATCATTCATTCATTAAAACTTGATTTCATTGGCCACTTAATAAACAGCATGTAATGGCTAATAGCTCACATACTCTCCTTTTCAGCTTGTGATAAATTATAGTGTTATAACATAGTTAGTTTGTTGAGATTGTAGTCTGCTTAGGTGCCTTGGGTTTGAATCTCCTTCAAGGCAAGGCAATTTCTTATGTCACTGTGCTTTCTTGAGACATTCACTTCAGCTTCTCTCCTACATACTTACTTATCTGCAGAAACTTACTGTTTTAAATGATCTCATAGTAAATAGATTAGCCATCAGGGTAGAGAAACCTGGAGCTAGACAACTTTGAGCAATAAAACCTAGTTTTAATTCTGCTACACAAACAGCATCATCGCCTCTTTTCCAATCCCAACTGGGAATATTCAATAAATAGGCCTGAAATTGAAGTAAAATTTTACTGCACAGTGTCACACACAATACTGTTTTTCACCATATTGCATATGAAATAATTTGATCTGTATACCCATAGTTTTTTTTTTCAATCAATAAAATAAATACATAATAAATAAAAAGCTTAGTTGAATATTAAAATGAAGCTGTTGAAAAAAATCTACATTACATTCACATTACTATGGCAGAGACGAAAACGAAAATTTGATGACAGTGTATTTGATATTTCTCAGACAGCATTTTAAGACTAGGCCTATAAATCATTTACAGAGAAAAATACAGTACCTTATTGTGATATTGTAATAACTGAACTATAACTTTAATATCTGAATGATAGTTTTTAATAGAAATAACTCTCATAATATTACTAGCATCTTCTTGATCAGGATCTTGACAATATTTATTAGCTAACACTAGACAGGCATCAGCTGATTTTATCTGAGATATAAACAAATTGAAATAGATCAAGCTTTAAAATATAAAATGCAAATCAAATGCATGAAGAATAAATCATCAAAATAACATCTTTATCAGCCAGATATTTTCTATGAGAATTATTAGAGAAATGTAATAGTCAGATAAACAAACCTTGACTCTAAATAAATCATTGGCATCCATCACAGTTCCTTTAAAGAATTCAACTTGAGTGAAATGTCTTTTAAACAAACCTTCTAACTCTAAATCTGGTAAAGACCTAGAAAGATAATGATATATGGAAGTTTTTTTTGGTATGTATGAAGGTATAGAATGAATTGCTTTTTGCCTTAAATATCAAATCGAAAAGCTTAACTGTGTTGTTACTTTCCAAATAAGTTATCTTAAAATAAACCCAACAAAATATTTTCATAGAGTTATAGATTAGGCTGTATTTTGTACTTATATCTGATGAAACTTTACAGAACTCAGCTTTCATTTCTTTGAGAATATTGATTGATAGGAATAGACAGTTATCTATATCTGAAAAAGTAAATCTTACTTGTGAATAAAAACAATTTCAACATCCACATCTTCTCTGTCTTTATGTAAAAAATCTTTTAAAAAATTAGTGACTGATTCATATGTGATGTGTCCACATACTACAATATGTCTGAAACAAAGCAGAAAATATTTATCATTAATATAACAGGGATAGAAAATAAATCATTTTCAAAACTCATAAGGCAAGTTTAGTATTCCACAGTTCCTTAAAGACATCTTAAAGTAGGTCTTAATTCAGCTACTATATCTCAATATCCTTGTTCATATAGTTCCATTAAGCAACTGATGTTGACGGTGCAAATATTTGATGTATATAAAATTGTTTTTTTTTAAACTTACCGTTTTCCCCTTTCTTTTTTAAAAGCACCACCATATTTTGGTCTTCTACCCAAAATTTCAATTATTTCAGGTATAAAGCTGGTAAATAAACCCTAAAGTAGAAGAAATTGAGGTTGAGTCTCACTCAGAAAAGGTTTTGCTAATTTTTCAAGATCACTAGATGGAACAGAAGTTTTTATCTCATCAGTTCATTACAAGAGAAATTGAAAGTCTGGTGACCTTAAAGAAATCATCTTTCAGTCAACTCAGCTGACCAAGAGTAAGGAATAATCTGGCAAAAAACAATGCCAGCTGGTTTCTTTCATCTTTCTTCTTTCTTTGGGAAATCTAAAATTGTATGAGAAGGACTATCAAAAAGCTGTCCAATAAATTGATAATCTTGATATAGATAACTAAATAAGCATTAAGAATGCTTTTGATACATGGAACATTTCAGAGAAAGATTTTCTTGTACTATTCACAGAAATTCACAAGAGTCTCAGAAAGTTTCTAACTGGTTAATTGTCCAACATGGTGACAGAATGATACTTACGATACTAATACATATAAAAAACACTATAAACATTCTTCCTAAAACTGTTTCTACATTGATATCACCATATCCCACAGTTGACATGGTAACTAGTAGAAAGTATAAACACTCCCAATAGGTCAATTTATGTGGATTAGAAAAATCAAAGAAAAAATCTCCAGAATTTTCAACCTGTAAAGGAATTAATTAATTTTTCATCATCAATATTGGAATGGCAAGTTAATTCAGGATCAGACTACACACCAGGGCAGATTCAGTTTAAAACAGGAAATTGCTTTGTATCAAACAGTGCTAAACCAGATTCTGGTGCTAGGCATGCAGAAGGATGCCCTTACTCCTGGAGTGTGAATTTCTAATATGTCAGATAACACAGCAAGTAGATATACAGGAATAAAATGAATTTAAAAACACTTGGATAAAAATATAGAATGACTTACCAAATGAACAAAACCTGCTGCTGCTAACCATAAGCTGATAAAATAGGCCACAACTTGTGTCAGTCGTATCATTGTGGAGGTTTTTAAAATATTTAGATAAGTTAAAATGTCCGGGAAGGACATTAAACGTAAAGCTCTCAAGAATCTTAAACCTGAAATGTAGAAATAAACAAGTTTTGGAAGGAAAAATAAAATGGATGCCTGGTAGGTGCTTTGTATTTGCCTTTCATGATAAATAAGAAAAATAAATCACTTTTTTTTTACAAAATTCATATCAGTATCAGACTTTTATGATGATAAGTATCAAATTAGTAATAAATAGTTATGATGATAAAGGACAGATGCCATATCAATAAAGTATAGTGATGTCAGAGGACAGATACCATATCAATAAAGTATAGTTATGATGTTAGAGGACAGATATCATATCAATAAAGTATAGTGTTGTTAGAGGACAGATGTCATATCAATAAAGTATAGTTATGATGATAAAGGACAGATACCATATCAATAAAGTATAGTTATGATGATAAAGGACAGATACCATATCAATAAAGTATAGTTATGATGATAAAAGACAGATACCATATCAATAAAGTATAGTTATGATGTTAAAGGACAGATACCATATCAATAAAGTATAGTTATGATGTTAGAGGACAGATACCATATCAATAAAGTAGAGTTATGATGATAAAAGACAGATACCATATCAATAAAGTATAGTGTTGTTAGAGGACAGATGCCATATCAATAAAGTATAGTTATGATGATAAAGGACAGATACCATATCAATAAAGTAGAGTTATGATGATTAAGGACAGATACCATATCAATAAAGTAGAGTTTTGATGATTAGTAAAGGACAATTCTGTTGATATAGGAACAAATCAGTAAAGGACAGTTATTAAGATAAAGGACAGTTGTCATATTAGTAAAATATAGTTATGATGACATAGGACAGATATCACATCAGTAAAGTACAATTTTGGTGACATTAATCAGATATCATATCAGTAAAGTACAGTTTTGGGGATATTCATCAGCTATCAATCAGTAAAGTACAGTTTTGGGGATATTAATCAGATATCGTATCAGTAAAGTACAGTTTTGGGGATATTCATCAGATATCAATCAGTAAAGTATAGTTTTGGGGATAATGATCAGATATCAATCAGTAAAGTACAGTTTTGGTGATAATAATCAGATATCATATCAGTAAGGTACAGTTTTTGGGATATTCATCAGATATCAAATCAGTAAAGTACAGTTTTGGTGATAATAATCAGATATCATATCAGTAAAGTACAGATTTGGTGATATTCATCAGATATCATATTAGTAAATAAAGTATCATTTGAGTGATGAGTATAATAATAATCATTAGTTTCTACCTCTACAGCTACAATTTGTGTTTGATTTTGATCATTGATTAAAGAAACATGCATTCCACATTTATTTAGTTTTGAAAGAGTGGCAATAGGACTAAATTTTGATTTTGAAAAACTTTTTCAGCTGCAAACCGTTTGCTTTTATTAGGCGAAAAAAGTGTCTGAGTAATCAACTCTAAACAGGAAATAGGAAATATTGGAAATAGTCTTCAGGTCTCAATTGTCTTTTTTTCTTTTTCACATAGTCAGATAATTTCTTTTGATTAATTCTGACTATATTTATATTGATGTAAATTTACAAGGTCTAAGGTCATGGATGAAATTAGACCAAATCCGAGAAGTAGTTTTGATTCGTCTCTTTAAAATTAAAGCTTCATTAAGGATTTGTTGCATACGTAACAGCAGCAATAGTTTCAGTTAATTTTATAAATGTTATAAATATTGAAATCCCATGACAGGTATGAAACAGTAATTACATTAAATAGATATATAGGGACTTGATCATTTATTGAATATTTAACTGGGACTTTAAGTATCTATTATTTCCAGTATTCCCCATGTAACACTAAGTAAGATAATTTGAATAATTACAGAAATTCTCTAGAATAACCCTGTTATAATATTAATCAATTGTATTAGTTTAAATACCATGTTTAATGAACATAGTAAACAATGTATTATACAGATACTCCACAGGGCAGTAACTTATGTCATCATTATATCTGTCATACAATAGCTGATTTTACCATCATTAAAACAATCTGAATAAATCATGATTATCTCAAATAAATTCACCATAACCCTTAGTCAATCAATTAATGAGCAAAAATTATTTTGAATTTTTTTAACTGAAGGAAATATCAACATAGCTGTCTGACTTGATTGCATCTTTCTGTGTAAACATTCTATTTATTCATCAATCAGTCACGAGGATTAGGATCAGGTCAGAAAAAACCTTGTTATGCTATTGTATTATAATTGAATGTAATAGGTTTCGTTATTTGTCCATTCATTTGTTCATGTGCAAGATAAAAAAAAAATGAACGCCAAGTCAGTTCTAAATCATTTTGGTGGCTCAGTGAGTTAGACACTTGGTCACTAACCTGATGGTCCAGGGTTCAATCCTGACATAGGTCGAATTAATACCTTCAGATTTTTCAACCCAGTTTCCCCGTGTCAGGAATGCAGGTAAGTGGGGCTGACATAGAAATAGCGTTAAGTGGATGGTGATAGCGCTACCAAATGTGTTTAAAACACAACGTAAAAGCTTATTCAAAGACAATAATGCCTGAGAATAGGACATTCAACTTTTACATTGTGCATATATGTAAGTACAGTTAAAGATGGGTTCCCTTATTTTCATTTATGAAAATGAAAATGCTAAAACTTTTATAATAGAAAGTAGAGGTGTTCTAATGACCAGGAAAAATACCAGTTTGTTTCACATGTCCATAATTAATTCATAATTAACTAAATTAGAAGAGAATTACCAGCAGAATTACAATGGGTGACTGATCAAGAAAGGTTGAAAAGTATTTTTTTGTTTATCCAGACTGTACATGCATGGACATTTATGATTGGTTAAAACATTTAATTATATGCAATAGGAACATATTATATGATTAATAATATTAAAATCATTAAAAACACCAATTAATAAAATAATTGCCTTATTTGACACTCAAAAATAAGGAAACCCATCATTAAAATAACACAAAAATTTGAGAGAATTTGTTGTCAAGAAACCACCATGCTTATGACCTTAGTATTTCTAGCCCTTTCTTTATAAAACTATTAACTCTCAATCAGATTTTGTTGGAAATTTAAAGACTGAAAAGAAATCTCCCAAGAATTTTGATCGATTGGGAGTAAATACATGAATATAATACTTGAATAGATAAAATCCAATTGTGTATTGTCTATAATTCCAGTCAAATGTCTCAGATTCTGTTGTTTTTAATCTCGGCATTGTGTTATCACAAAACTACATCATGCTCAGCGTTTTCTATTATATTTTAAAAAGCTTGTTGCTATGTTGATTTCTATTTGTTTCAGCAATTGTTGCCATGACAGGCAGGTTAAGTAAGAACTTGACATTTCATCATCAAGTTTAAGTTCTAATTCAACTTAAAGTTAAAGTAACATAGATCAAGTTTAATGATACAAGTTAAAAGTTTTCAACAACATGATAAAGAGTCAACATAAAAGTTAAAGTTTTTTATGATAAAGATCCATGCTAATAAGATTTTAATGTTCTCCATAATAAAGAATAAGTTTTAAGAATGCTTAAAGTTTTGAGTAATTAAGAAAAAGACTTATGAAATGTTAAAGCTCTCAGTCATCAAGATTCAAAAAGTTGGAGTACTTTGTCAACAAAAGTTTGACATGAAAATAAAGGTTTAAGATTTTTTGTTGATGAACAAAAAATCACAAGATTCAGGCTAAAGGACTATTGATTTAAGTAAAACAGTTAAAGATTGATGTTAAACTAGAAATTTCACACAAAACCACTTCATTGATGATCTCTTGATTATAACTATCGAATCTGAAGCAGCTCTTCCCTTACTCAGCACAGTATATCTTAACGGATTGTAAATCCATCATGATAACCAAATTATCCAATTGATAGTTACATATAATCACACAGCGATAAATGCATCAGTATTGTTAATAACCACAATAGGAACCTTCAAGAAAAGTATGCCCACATGTACACCAAGAGAATAGTGACCACCTATAAGTGAAACAAAAACTTAATCATTTAGTTCATGGCAGACTTTACCCCCTCCCAGATAATGAACTGTAGGCCTATTGATTTTAAGTTCTTCATATTAATCATTATATTCTTTTTGTGTAGGACTTGTAAGAAGAGAGGCGTTTTTTGTATACGAATGTTTACATAATATATATATATGATTTGCTTTCAGATTATCATGATAAGTTAATATGTTTTTTTTTTTTTACTAACTGAACTCAATTTAATAGTACTTCGCAATTATTGGTTCTGTCTTCATGACCAAGGCCCTTGCTTTTTAAGAAAATTCTATTATCGTATCACCCTAACACAGATTGGTACAATGTGAGTATATATTTTCAGAAATCATCTTGAAATCATGAGCATTGCCAAACTGATAACTTTTCAGATAACCTAATTCAAAGTAATCACCAATTCTCATACATCATTTTATTTCTGATAAATTTATCAATTACACCATGCAAATATCAGTATATTGGATTTGAGTATTTTTTCTTGGTTATCGTAAAATTTTATTGGCAATTTGTCTCTTTTTAAATATACCACCAGTTTTCAAAATTTGGCACATCATTCATTACTCATATCATATCAGCTTTAAATTTAATATGATTTGTACATACATTATTCAATGCCTCAATAGTTTATGTACTCTGGACTTTAAACTAGATACTGGTAATATTTTCATGTAACAAGTATGTAACCATAGCGAAGAAAAAACACATAACAATCTACATAATAAAAGAAATTCACAGAGGACGTTTCCATGTTAAATATCATTTATTAAAATATATCATTGTGAAAATACCTAAGGGAAAACAGTTTAGTATTGTTTAGAATAATTTGTCTTTGTTAACTGTGGTCTTGCCAGCGAACTGCCAAGGGATGCACAGACTTAGTCTATATCAATTATTGTAAAATCTTAACTATCAATATCAATAAAATATTTAACTAGAAATATATATCAATCAAAGTAATTTGCACACCTTTCCTACTAACCATTTAATAATTCATTCAAACTTAATGATTAACAGTTGACACTCATACTTCAGTCATTGTCGCAAGCAAAGGACAATCAGCTTTTACCTTAGGTGTTGTTGTTATGGTTATATCATGGTTGTGTTGATTAACCATTCTAAAAATCTCAATTTAATCAGCCCAAATGTTGAACTTTTTGGAGAAAAAATAATCTTAAAGGACATGCTTCAACGTTATCAGGGGTGGATTTGTACGAATATTGCAAAATTCCTTCCAAAATACCCCAAATCAAAAATTATAATTCTTATTTATATCTTTCACTAATTTATCCTATAGTTTATTAGGGTAACCCCAAATTTTACTTCTTTTTGGTGAGGTCTATAATACCTAAAATTTTGTACAGATAATTAAAAATTGAAACTATGGATACATATGACTAAGAAAGTGAAAATTTATATGGTACACTGACAACACTAATACTGATTAAATTTTCTACTTCTAAGATCAAGGCATTATTGACACCCAAAAATGGTGAATCATTTTAAATAAGGCAATTTTAAAAGCATAATACCATCCCTTTAATCTATAAGATGTTTTATTAATTCCATGAAAATTATTCCCTTAGAAATAACAAAACAAAGCATAACAATAATCTTCTAATTAATAACCTTAGAAACATATTGTGGCAATTGATTTTTTCTTTCTTTTTTCATTGTTACCTAGAAATGACATATGACATACAAACAATGCTTTAACAGTTTAACTTCTAACTTTCTTGATCAATGAAGATGAGCATCAACCTGTTGGTGACACTTGGCGTACATAAGGTTTCAAATTTTAACAAATATATCTCAAACAGCATAATTTGCAACCATGTATCAAAGTCCAAATGTAAATGTAAATGTAAACACCTAGAAACATATACGGCTACCTACATCAATAATTCAGAACCATTAGCATGAGGTAAATTAGGTTTAGTTCCTACTTTACTAACATAAAATTTTCTTTTCCTCTTTTAGAGACAAGACAATATGAAAATTCAATGATTGTGCACCAAAATATCAAAAAAAATTAAACAGTGTCAGATGGTAAGTCATTCATAAAAAATTCCTGGAGTTCTAGTGAAGTCTATTCCGTGTCACAACACATTCTGCTCTGATTTAAAATAAATAATTGATGAAAAGTTGGCATGCAGAAAATATTACACACTTGACTTCTGCTTTCAAGTTGTTATTGTTTCAATTTATCATCAATAATATAACAACAAAGGATTTAAAGTCTTTGATGTACTTTTATTCTCAGATATTAAACTTAAAACTATTCTTCTCAATTATCACACATAATAATTAAGAAGTCAAACTTGATTGCATATATTCATCAAGCATGATTTATTGAACTCATTCAATTCCAAATGAGGTTTGGAAATTTTTCAAATCATTTGTTATGTTAAGGATATAACACGTAGGTGGATTGTGGTAACAATCTTAGGGGAAGTGTTTTATCCTACTTTGAACTTATTTTTCATAACCTTAACTTTATTCTCAAACTAAATTCCAACCCCATTATCAAGGTAAGCAATGTTGCAGAAGGCTTAGCGATAAATCACTCTCTCATTTACATTTAAATCCCAGGAACTGACAATTGACATGACAAGGTATTCTATGTGATATAAAATCTGTGAAGAACAATAGGATGACATCACTAGAGGTTTATAATTGGAGTTAGAATTTTGAGCTGTTATGATAACTCATTATCAGAACACCTGATTAGATAAGACCCCAGTTCTCAGAAGTAACTAATTATGGGAATGTCAACAACAGCCTGATTATTTGAACTGGTTTTTTTTCTGAAACTACAGTGTTTACTGTAAGTGCAGATAAAGCTTTAATAATATTGATATTGATGTTCAAATATAAAATAACAGAAATTAGATATTACTTCTGTCAATAATGAACAGTATAAGTTATGATAATACTCAATTACAGCCAGGTTTCCTATTATAAGCCTAATACACAAGTAACTCTGATTCACATTGTTTTCAAAGTTCAAATAAGCAAAAGAGAGTCAATAGGGAATATTCATTTACAGTAAACAATAAGTGGTATCATTGTCTTGCCTTCAATATAACACAATTGTTTAATGGTAAATTTTGACATTATTCACAAGGGTTTGGGCTTCACATCAATGTGGAATGAAACTTCCAAAAACATCACCTTTAGAAATATTAAGTAGATTTTAGGTTCTGAGAGCATGTTTCTGAAGATGTGATTTTTCATAAGTTAGATAGCAGTATTTAACAAACGTGTATCTCAAACCACCAGCCAACAACCTGATTAGTTTTAGAAAAGATCCAAAAGACTATAAAAAAAATTTGCTTGGTTCAATGGAAAATCATTGTCATTGGTTCTGCACTTGGTTCAATGTGTCCAACTCTGGTGACCTTTCTATGGGTATGGATAGTCTGAGAAAAATCTAAAAGGTATAACCAAGGACCTACTGATGAATAGAATCCTTTATATCATTCATTTAAAATTGTTGTTTCTTCTAGCATTCTATTTCTCTCTGAGTAGCAATAATGAGAAGTTACTTACCTAACCAATTTCTGTCTAAATAAATGGCTACAAATGAAGGTGGAATTGTAAAATAATCCACAAATGAAAATAACTCGAACCAAAACCATAATTTATCATTGGCTGCTACAAACTGTAAAAAAACAACGTGTTATTAGTTATTAGTGCATTAGTTGTATCAACGTTTTTTACAATGTACCAAAGTTAAAGATCTAATGGAGTCCTGATTTGAAAATTGGCCGTTCTAGTTTCTTTATGGATCATAAAGAGGCATTAAGTAAATTCATGATAGATATATTGTAAACAATTCATATCCATGTAATATTAAAGAAGAATTCCAGTCATCAAGATATGAATTTATAATATTTTTATTATGTGCAAGTGCTTTTGTTTATGTTGGGCCATATAACATGACTTCAATTTTGTAAAAGATGAACAAAGAATAAGCTGAATAAATGATGTTCACAGTGTTTGGTAAAAATGAATCCATCATGCATTGTGATATCTTATAATATGTCACCTTTAATTGCTGCTCTATTAACACAATTCCATCAAAAAATCATCATTATGTTCAGTCATAAAGTAAATGTGGTGTCACTTTATCATGACATCACAGAAAAGTTTCATGCTATGCGATGTTCAGACAACTGACCTATTTCAGAGTATGTCCCTACTGAAGTCATTAAATCATATCTGTCAATTTAAAACTATTCAGGTTTTTAATAACGGATACTTTTTCATATCAATCATCCCCTGACAGACTGGTAATAAAATAAATATCTAGACAACAGAGTCTTTTTAAAGACTTTTGTCACATACATAAGCCAATGGCAAGGGACATAGAAGATAAAATGTTACCATAGACTTCTAGCTGAATCAGAAACACCTGAACCTTTTTTTAGAAATGCTTTGAGACAATTTGAGTACTTAAAGTTGAATTATATCAGCATATAAATTGCAAAGCTATATCCCTTTTTTATATATTTGAAGTATTTGGTCTACAGGATATTAATTGAAAATCAGAGAGGAGAAGTTAATATGGAATATTAAAGTCTTTCTAATAGATTAGCTAGCTTCTATTTCTACTCTAGTAAATGAATATTAGACATGAAAAATCAATAATAAGAGAACTTGTGAAAGAAAGTATTACAGTTTATAGTTGTTTTTATTTCTTTATACTTGAATATAAAGTAGGTAATGGTTAAGTTTTTGCTTTTTTGAAACATTGCATTTCAATTCAATGAGATTGAGTTGTTACTACAGGGTTTCTCAAGTAAATTAGCTAAAACGCAACTTTTCATAGTTGAAATTGCCAAAGTGCCAAAGATATATCCTCATGAAAGGTTTTGCGTTCTCTTTTTTTTTTGCAATATTTTTTAAAATTTTACCATGTGCCATTTTGCAAACATTGATGCGCCACAAAAGGTGCACGCGCCACAGGTTGAGAAACCCTCGGTTACTATATAGTAGTGGTGGCGCCAGTGGGAATTTGGAGGAAATGTAAAAATGCTCCCACTTCATTTCTAAAAATTTAAAAATATGATTTTTATATGTTTTGTCCGCAAATATGTGTCAGAAGACAATTTTTCATCCACAGAAATTTTAAGGACAACTACTCTGCGCATTGCATGTAAATAACTTATTGGTCTTCTTGACAGAAGAGTTACACCATGAAAGGTATGAGAGATAGAGAGTATAATAATATGAAGAATCAGTAACCTGATTTATAATGAAAAAATCAATACAGTGACATTGTAAAAGATAGTTACTTGCCTTGTTCTATTTATCATTTTATCAAGTTAAAAGTAAAAATCAATCTTATCTAATTAGAAAATACATTTTCATGTAATCAGCTTATTTAAATTGTCATTAAGACTTTAATGTTGGCTGTTTAAATCAATGCAATTGAAATATTTGTAATGTAAGCAGGGTTTTCCCCTCCACAGCTCAAAAAGAGACTACAGGTACAAAAGTTTTGCGTTTGAAAATATTGAAATCTTCAACAAGACATATGATTTTAGTAACTATTAAGACAGCTGTAATCAAACTTTTATATACATTTCAACTCCGAGCATGTTATTTTTCCATCAGGGTGTTATGATTAATTTTAAATTCATAAAAACCTTTGTAATATATTTTAACTTCTACTGACAAACAACAAAAAGTATATAAACAACCATGACAAATAAACATGATAAACAAATCTGTTACACCAATTACACTAAAACATTCTATCTATTCTATGTGATATATGTGTGTAAAGTAGATGATTGAGGAAGATTATTCTATAGGGGATCAGAATGGGCGTTACAATGTATGTAAATTCTAAAAATATCATTTGGTATTTTAAGAGCAAATATAGTATTGCCGAAATAGAGTCAACTGAGAGGTCTGCAATATTGATGACCAATTAGGTCAAAGTTTAATTTACACAGAAAAAGGAAGTGGTACATGCAAATGTCATTCCACAGAATATTCTCATACACATGCTTTATTTTTGGATAGAAAATATTAACTGAAGCTATTCATCTACAAAGTATATCTCAGCCTGTCTCAGTCTCGGTATCTTACAGGAATCTTGAAGCTAATGGAATCAAAATTGCTTTCTGGATTCACTCCTGAAGTGAGATACTCACTAGGGTTTTTGAGGCAATAAAAACTGTACACAAAAACAATACTTACTCTAATAAAGAAGTATATCATAAAGAAAACATTAAAAGCCAGATCAACTTGTTGTGTTGTACTGGTAGACCATGGATGACATGTTTCAACTGCTTCATTCTCCCTGAAATATATAAATAATACATTGTTCATTTCAATTTGGTATCTTTGATTGAACAGACATGAAGAGACAAATATCTCCGATTATTTTACCTATGAGCCATTTGTTCCATTTCAGAGTTGGATAAACCTTTTAATAGTACATCCAGGACATCAAGGAAATCTTCTCTGTTAAAGTTAAGTGATATCACTTTTTGGGCGAATCATGTTTCATATCTTCAAGCTGAGCACATAAACTTCTGATGAAATTACACAAAAAAAGGCTATGTCTTGGATCAAAAAATGTAAAAGCTTTCTTATCCTAACCCCAAAAATTGCTATTCTTTTCAGTTGATCATTTCTGGTGTAAGTGTCAAATTTGCTTATGTATTATCCAAGTTTTTTTACAATGGAATATTGAGACTGTTGTGTTTAAAATCATCATTATATCCTACAAGTTTGATGTAAACACACAGAATTTCCATCTTGTATGCTTTCTTTTTATATCTTTACAGTTGCAGATCATTAATGTCAATCGATGAATTTCAATTTTCCAATTGTTTGTTTATATCTCAAAAGATCTAAGCAGTTAAAAAAATTTCAAATAAAATTTTTATTAGCTTTGAAGCCTATTAATTATAAAAACTTTTATCTGATCAATTGCTTATTAAAAGTGTTAAACAAGCAAACAATTATTCTTGTTATATTCCAGGTCTTTTTCATCAATTACCAATTAAAATGAGGTAATTAAAAGATGTGTGGTAAATTTTGCCGCTCCAACATCAATTAGAAAGCATCATTGGATGCATGGAGGTTGTAAATTATTATCATTTAATGAATTAGGCAACAATTTAAATTAACTAAAAAATCCATATATCAGTGATCTAACCTGAATATAAATTCAAGTCTCTCCTCTTAGTTGAATCCAGTGATTAATTCATATTTATAACCTTGTGTAATAGTGAGGAATTTAAAATCAGGTGTTAAAACCATCTCTCTACTTAGTACTACTAACACATCTATATATAAACATCTGAACAACTATCATACCACATTATAACTTCCTCATACCTAGAACAGTTTATAACTTCTATCATTCTTAAATAACTTGTTCCTCATACCTAGAACATCTTATAATTTCTATCATTCTTAAATAACTTGTTCCTCATACCTAAAACATCTTATAACTTCTATCATTCTTAAATAACTTGTTCCTCATACCTAAAACATCTTATAACTTCTATCATTCTTAAATAACTTGTTCCTCATACCTAAAACATCTTATAACTTCTATCATTCTTATGTAACTTGTTCCTCATACCTAAAACATCTTATAACTTCTATCATTCCTAAATAACTTGTTCCTCATACCTAGAACATCTTATAACTTCTATCATTCCTAAATAACTTGTTCCACATACCTAAAACATCTTATAACTTCTATCATTCTTAAATAACTTGTTCCTCATAACTAGAACATCTTATAACTTCTATCATTCTTAAATAACTTTTTCCTCATACCTAAAATATCTTATAACTTCTATCATTCTTAAATAACTTTTTCCTCATACCTAAAACATCTTATAACTTCTATCATTCTTAAATAACTTGTTCCTCATACCTAAAACATCTTATAACTTCTATCATTCTCAAATATCTTGTTCCTCATACCTAAAACAACTTATAACTTCTATCATTCTTAAATAACTTGTTCTTCATACCTAGAACATCTTATAACTTCTATCCTTCCTAAATAACTTGTTCCTCATACCTAGAACAGTTTATAACTTCTATCATTCCTAAATAACTTGTTCCTCATACCTAGAACATCTTATAACTTCTATCATTCTTAAATAACTTGTTCCTCATACCTAGAACATCTTATAACTTCTATCATTCTTAAATAACTTGTTCCTCATACCTAGAACATCTTATAACTTCTATCATTCTTAAATAACTTGTTCCTCATACCTAGAACATCTTATAACTTCTATCATTCCTAAATAACTTGTTCCTCATACCTAGAACATTTATAACTTCTATCATTCGTAAATAACTTGTTCCTCATACCTAGAACATCTTATAACTTCTATCATTCTTAAATAACTTGTTCCTCATACCTAGAACAGTTTATAACTTCTATCATTCCTAAATAACTTGTTCCTCATACCTAAAACATCTTATAACTTCTATCATTCTTAAATAATTTGTTCCTCATACCTATAACATCTTATAACTTCTATCATTCCTAAATAACTTGTTCCTCATACCTAGAACATCTTATAACTTCTATCATTCTTAAATAACTTTTTCCTCATACCTAGAACAGTTTATAACTTCTATCATTCCTAAATAACTTGTTCCTCATACCTAAAACATCTTATAACTTCTATCATTCCTAAATAACTTGTTCCTCATACCTAGAACATCTTATAACTTCTATCATTCTTAAATAACTTGTTCCTCATACCTAGAACAGTTTATAACTTCTATCATTCCTAAATAACTTGTTCCTCATACCTAAAACATCTTATAACTTCTATCATTCTTAAATAACTTGTTCCTCATACCTAAAACATCTTATAACTTCTATCATTCCTAAATAACTTGTTCCTCATACCTAAAACATCTTACAACTTCTATCATTCCTAAATAACTTGTTCCTCATACCTAGAACATCTTATAACTTCTATCATTCTTAAATAACTTGTTCCTCATACCTAGAACAGTTTATAACTTCTATCATTCCTAAATAACTTGTTCCTCATACCTAAAACATCTTATAACTTCTATCATTCTTAAATAACTTGTTCCTCATACCTAAAACATCTTATAACTTCTATCATTCTTAAATAACTTTTTCCTCATACCTAAAACATCTGTGAATTAGATCTGTATACTAGAATGCTAATATCCCTTTTTTGACATTTAACTAAAGTAAATGTACTAACAATACGAACAGCAAAATGAAACCTGAAATGAACTTTTTCCAAATAACTAACTCTGACCTTCTGTAAAACTATAAAATAAGTCTTGTTCATTATTATTGCTTTGTTCAGATCATTTTTTTTCCATGGTATTTAACAGAGCTTTGTCGAGTAATAAGAGATTTCTGATAGAAAAAAGACATCATATTGTCAATGATGAATCACTATGTTGCAGTTACAAAGTCATCTTGTCCAAAAGATGTCATAGATAAATTCTTCATGTCATTTATTAAGCCTTCATTATATTGTTAAACTTTATAGGACAGATTTGTAATGTAATGGAGTGCAACAAAAGAATTTGCTGAATCGAAGCACAAAAATGCAATTTTCCCTTGTTAACTCATTTTACTTATCCATTGTTATTTGAGATACCAACCTTATTACTCAATGAATAGGAATGGAGAGAAAGGGTTCAAATAAATAAATTACCAAACAATTGATTTTCTTCAGAGATATATAGACCTGATTCTTATACATTTTACATTTTTACGGTAAGGCATCTTACAAAGGTACATTAGGCCTACATAGACAATGTGACAACAGAAAATTTCATAATGTAATATACTAAAAACAGAGGTTCTGTTTTCTTGCTGATTTGATCACATTAAAACTGTTTTTACCACGACAGGGGTTGACATTTTTAAGAAAGAAGCTACTACATTTTCAATCAATAAATTTGTCTTTTGCTATATCTATCCCACAATTTACAACAATTTTCTCTTCAGAATAACAATTTCCTAAATTCACATCAAATTTCTTATTGTCTAGCCGAACAGTGAGATATTACGTGTAGAGGAAACAAGGACAATACATATGTTAAAAGTAAAATTAATGTTAAGGGAAGTAATAACATTTATTAAGTATAAAATTGTATGACTACGAATGTGTATCGCCACGATTGACCAAAATCTTACATAAATTTACCCGCATATAGAAGCTATCGCCTGATGGAGAAGTGCCAGAATGAATTCTGCTTGAGCTGATGGCTCATGTGTTCGCCAGACTTTATTAGAAAAGTAGAATACAAAATTATACTTCATTTCATTAAATGGGTTGTATTATCATATATCCATTTGAGTATAATTTGAACCGATTAGTCTCAAAGAAATGTTCAATTCCTTGTTTTTTATACGCCCACATTATAATTGTCGTCACCCATGTCCGTCCGTCTGACCTCAATTGGCTTGTGAACGCAATAGAGACTACAGCTTTCATCTGATTCGAATGAAAAATTCACGATTTTTCGATGAACGGTTTTTAAGTTATTGCCGTTGACTTATGAAAAACGCGTCAAAATTTGTTTGTGAACACACTAGAGACAACAGTTTTCAACTAATTTAAATGAAATTTGGTGTGAATATTTATAATGATGAGATTTTTATTCAAGATTGAATTTTTCAATCAACAGAATTTGAGTTATTGCCCATGACTTAGTAAAAATTCATCAAAATTTGTTGGGGATAGAGGTGACAGTTTATGTCAGAATTTTATTAAATAATGTGTCTTTGTTTAAATCAACAATATCTTGCACAAATTAGATTTTTGGTATGATTTGACACAGATAGGTGAAAGGAAACATGTGACCTCTGTTTATTGTCCCATCCAAATGACTTTTTTCCATGCCAGCCCCACTGACCTACATCACTGAGGGTGGTTAGTGAGCAGGTGTCTGACTCACTGCAGCCACCTCCACTCCACAAGTAAATATAAATGGTTTTACAATAATATATCTTATTGCCTGTATAATATCACTAGTCTGGTTGATTTCAATGAAATGATGAATAGATGAGAAACCACTAATAGACATATCAGCCTCTGATCAGAATAAATCATTCAATTTAATTCATTGAGGTTAACTGATTTAGCTTCTATTTCTATTCAGATCTTATCACTCAGTAGAGTTCTAACTATCTTGTGGTGATTAATTTAGCTATTTTTCTTATTCCACTATTACTTATTTCATTCCATGGTAATGAATAATCATGAAAGAGAATGAAATATATGCTTCTATTGGTTCCAGTAAATTAGTCAATTGGTC